TTAGAACTAATAAGTTACATATCAAAGTAACATAAAAACTATCAAAGTTATCTTTTTGTTACCACTTTATCGTTTTTCTAATCAGTTAAATTATCTTTATAATTGGGTTTTAGTTGATGTGGCTATGTGGCTAGTTATTATTAGCTTCATTCCATCAACTCTACAAGAAGCTTTGATGCATACTTTTTTTTGTGGAAGAAAGGATCATTGAAACCTTTTTAATGCACAAATGCTATTGCAAATCCATTTTAATTTACATTTATAAAATTGTTCTTTTTCTAAGTTTTTCTTGCTTTTTTTATTTTGATTTTTTCATTTTCAATTGGCGCGACCTATTTAATGACGTTCTATGCTTCGATTGATATACGTATGTTGGTGACTCATATTTTTGTTTTATTTATGTCTTTTGTCTTTTCTTTGTTTACCGTTAGCAAAACTTTGTACTCAAGGTAAACAGGCCAAGTATATCTTTTAAGTTTTAAACTTTTCTCATAATCATGAGAAATGGTTCGTAATCTGCTCGAACATAATCTTCTAATAGTTTGCTTATTGATAAGTTGTTTTTACTAATTTGGACATTGAATTTGGAGGTAAACAGGTTTTAACAATACATTTGCCTATGAACTTTTGTTATACTGGGAGCACGAATGACAGAAAACATTTGCTTATGATTTTAAACCATTCATTTTGCTGAAATTTAACTTGTTTCATTTTGCTTACATTTACAATCATTAGATACCCCAATTTAAAAAATTAACAAAAGTATCCGTTGGATCCGATTTTTTCTACATTGCTTCTAAAACTTTTATAAAGCCTCATTGGTTAAATGTTTTAAAAGTTGTAAATAGTTTATCTTGTTAACACAAAAATTGTTATCACATTTTCCTATATTTACAACGATTTGATATGGACATTGATATGGACGCTGGTTCTGACATTGATCTAGTAGTTGAGTCGAAGAATTTGCAGAAATTTGTAGTCAAATCATGAACTGTGTTTATCTGCTAGCACTACAACAGGTCGTTGTATATTATTTTCTAACAAATATACTGTTTTGAATTCCATTTTCAGCAGACAATGTAAATAAATCTTTTATATTTTGACGGCTGCCTTTTAGGACACTGATCATATCTTTATCAGCAAAAATAACTTGTAAATTCACAGTTTTACCTAAAAATTTAAAAAAAGTTGCTTAAAAATATAAATTATGATTAAATTTATACCTAACACTACTAAGGTGATAAAATATGATTCACTTACACTTACATGATTAATAACTAACTTACATGATTTATAACTAACTTACATGATTAATAACTAACTTACATGATTAATAACTAACTTACATGATTAATAACTAACTTACATGATTAATAACTAACTTACATGATTAATAACTAACTTACAAGATTAACTAACGCTACCACTTACATAATTAATGCTACTACAGTTATTTTTAATAATTAAATACAAGCTACGAGTAAAAATTATTCATATAACTCATTAATGTTTTCTGCCAATAAAGCAACTGGGAATACAGTTACTGATTTTTGCTTTTCCCTTATTCTTTGCACGGATCTCTACCCGCAACATATAAAAGAATAGAGTTTGCTCCGTCAACGAAAATTGTACAGTCTTCTGAGTAAACTTGGTGCATTAAATGTCTATAGAATCAGTTTACACCAAGTTTTAATTTTTATGTATAAAACAAAGATAAAGACTATCTCTTAAAATATTTCAGTCCTATTAATAGGACTGAAATATTTTATTTGAAAAATTTTATTGAAATATTTTATTGAAAAATTTTGTCAGGTATTTATAAACTAATTTGTCAAAATTTTGACAAATTAGTTTATAAATACCTGACAAAATTTTCAGATAATAACTACATTGTCCCTATATATATATATCAATATCGTAAACCTTATTCATAGAAAAAGTTTTCTAAGATTGAAAATCCGTAAAAAAGTTAGTATACAACAGATTAAAAAATGAATTGAAACAGGTGTTAATACTTATAGATTTTAACATATCCAATGCTTCTTTTAAACTAAAATTCAATTATATAAAATATGTATCAGGATTTTTCATTAATTCAGTTATGGTGTTTCCTCTAACTTGAATGTTATTGTTAAAATCTAATCTGAGTTCTTGAATATTTTTTTTTTAACTATCAATGAATTGTTTATAAAGTACGCGTATAGCTTTATAAAGTACGCGTTTTAGGTACGAAATGGAAATTTCGCCTGAACGTTTAAGAAAGTCTTTATCATTTCAAATATTTAAATTGATATTTGATACTGTTTATGCAATGTTTATTTAAATTAAATTATTCATTGTAAAGAATTTTTTATTTGGGCGCATTAGTTTGAACGCCCATACCGGCCAACGGTATGAAAATACATCTGGGTACGGCACTGAATATTATTATAAAAATTTCGTCTTGTGGGCAACCTTTTTTGAAAATTAATCAGAATAAAACCAATTTCCATTACTTTTGAACAAAAGTTCATCGATCTATGACACAGGAAATTAATGAACAAAAAGTTAAAAGGTTATAATTCTAATATATATATATATATATATATATATATATATATATATATATATATATATATATATATATATATATATATATATATATATATATATAGCGTTTTGTTTGAGACAAGATTGTACATCACTGCATTGAAAACGGTTTGATATAAAAAACCCAACATTTCAAAACATTTTGTTTTGAAAAGGTTGTGCCTGACGAACCTTCTCGAGATACTCGATATAATAACAGAAGCTATTTACCAGGGATACGCTACAGATGTACTATTCACGGATATGGAAAAAGCATTTAATAAAGTACCCCAAAAGACTCCTCCACAATCTTCAATGTTACGGAATCAAAAATGAGCTTTTCGTGTGGATCAAAGCTTGGGTCTTTGGACGGCGGCAGAAAGTTGTAATTGAAGAACACATCTCAAATTGTAAAAATGTTACCAGCTGTATACGGCAGGATTCAGTACTAGGACCATACCTACTTCACCTTGAGTACATCATCCAGGTGTGGTCACCATACTAATAAGGAGACATAGACGCGCTGAAGAAAATCTAAAATTGTGCTACCAAAACAATTTCTTCTATTATTCATAAAGCCCCTGATCAGAGAAGAGCTATGTTAGGCCTCACAACACTCAAAGAGAGAAAGAAAAGAGGTGGTTTAATAAAAGTTTTTAAATACATGCACAAAATTGACGCAATAAACTTCCACGTACCACTGAGTTGTCCATCAAAATTAAAGTATATTATGCGAGACCGTAATAAACGATTGGCACTGCAACAAGTACTGAACTACATGCAAAGAGAAATTTATAAAATATAAATATATAAAATATATATAAAATTTTATAATATATAAAATATATTATAAAATATAAATTCAATACGAGCCGTGTTGTGTCCCAGTGGAATACTCTCCTATAAACATTAATATATATATATATATATATATATATATATATATATATATATATATATATATATATATATATATATATATATATATATATATATATATATATATATATATATATATATATATATATATATATATATATATATACTATAATAATTTACTATAATAATTTTAGTAATTTATATATAAAAGCAAGTCAAACTCTTGAGACAGGATAAACTATTTGTGGAGGACAAAGCTCTAGGAGACAGACAAAAATCGAAACGCAAATATTTGTTAATTTAAGTGCGATTTGTACGGTTTGTTAGAATACCCAAGTAAAAACGTTTTCTTGGATATTCTCTATCAAAAGTTTTGAAACAACTAATAAAATAATTTTTTAGAATGTTTTATTAACTTTATGTCCGATTTGAACCTCAACTTGTCACAATCAGTTTATGAGCGATAAATTGGATGCAATCCTTTAAATATTTATTTGGAATATTTATTCATTAGTTATTAACATAACGATACCATGTTGTCTTTGTTGGTGTCATAATTTTTGTTAACTTACAGATTTATTAAATGGTTTTTTTGAATTATTCATTAATCCAATTGTGATGCTTATTAATGATCGTTATCTTATTTATATTGTAAACGTACTAAAGAATGAAGAAATACAAAAATCTTAATTTTTTAATTAAAATACTTCAAAGTATAACTATTATTAAAAAAGCAAACATGAAAACAATAAATAACAATAGCAAAATATATACATATATATATATATATATATATATATATATATATATATATATATATATATATATATATATATATATATATATATATATATATATATATATATATATATATAATAATAATAATAATAATAATAATAATAATAATAATAATAATAATAATAATAATAATAATAATAATAATAATAATAACAATAATAAATACAGGGGGGGGGGAAGTGTGATTTTCAAGTTTTAAGGAAGCAGTCGGTACTTTTTGAAAATTCACCCCTTTCCCCTCATTTTATTCGTAGTATCGCTTCTGATAAAAATAGGTATACGTAACTTATAAGTGCAGTGAGAATCTTTAAAAATGTTTAGCTGTACAAAAATAATATAACTAATTTCATCTAAAAAAACAAAATACCGGAATTATTTGCTGGGTGGGGTGCTAATTATATACACTTTGGTAACAGTTATATACACTTTGGTTGATACCAAAGTGTATACAACTGTTGTGTAAGGTTTCTAGAACCACCTTACTAATTAGTACTTATCTATTATTATTATTTTTTAATTCAGTTATGCATTCAGCACTGTTTAAAAAAATGTTATGTATTGATTAAAGATGACGTAACGATATAAAAACCTACTGTTTATTGATGATGCTGCAAAAAATCAATTCAAAACAGATTTATGTTCCAATAACATTCATAAATAAATAAATAAATGGGATGTCATTTCTTTTCGCTATTGTTTAAATTACATACTCGCATTAATTATTTTAAATTTGTATTTTCAAAGTGTTTTTTTTTTCTATTTCAAGAGCAAATCTTTTATTATTTAAAAAAAAAAATTCATTCACGATAACTTTATCTTCGTTTAAAGGATTAGTGACTTTGAAGTTAGACGTATTTTAAAAGCTGTACAATTTTATTTTTCTGTGTTCCAATTGTTTTGAAAAAGAAAAAGCCGTTTTTAGTTTACATATGCTTTGTGTTGAAAATATGTTTATTGAAGGTTAGATGTGTTTTGTTTTTAAATATAACGAATAATTTTTGATAAGCGATATTTTTAAACACGTTATCAAAGTTGTATAAATGTTTACGAGTGCTTTCTCTGATCGATAAATGTTTTGCATTTCTAATGCGTTCCTAATTTTATAAAATGCCAATTATTTAGATATGTGAAATGACATGTGCTGTAATGGGATGCCGTCCGACGAAGCCAAAAAATTCTGTTGCTGATGAAAATGTTGACCGTCTCACCAATGGTACTGCCCAATTTTTCATCAAATGATTTATCAATATTAGGTTATCATTTAACATTTTTTGCAACACACGCACACACAAAAGTTTCGACGGCTAACTTTTTGTGTGTTGCTGGTGAAATTTCGGCGGAAAAGTCTTGGTTAAAATATTTAAAATGATTTGGTCTAATTTGTCTTATTTTGTTCAGGTAACCATATAAATGATAGTAACTGCAATCAGGTTACGAATGGCACTAAGCATCAAGTAAATATAATAAATATATTATTAAAATTATACATTATATTTATCAATATATTGTTTAAGTGTTTAGTACTTTAGAACTTTAAAAAAAAAGTTAAACTGTAAAATGAAAGAATAAATTTTCGCAAAGTTTAATGTTTTAATTTTTCTATTGTTTCAAATATATTCAAATATACGGTAATTTTTTATATTTATTTGTTTGTGGTTCACCATAATTATTTAATAAAATTGTTATCTTTAATCTTTTTAGAATTATAACAAGGTCAACAAAAGGTATTTACATTTTTAAAAAGTTTATGTGTTAACTTATACATACATATATATATATATATATATATATATATATATATATATATATATATATATATATATATATATATATATATATATATATATATATATATATATATATATATATATATATATATATATATATATATATATATATATATATATATATACATATATATATATATATATATGTATATATATATATATATATGTATATATATATATATATATATATATATATATATATATATATATATATATATATATATATATATATATATATACATATATATATATATATATATATATATATAAATATATATATATAAATATATAAGTACGTATGTTTTGGTACTTATTTAATGAGGTATAATTCAAAAAAAAAAAAGCTTTTGGCACTAGTCCAAATCACTGAGGCATGCCAGCAATAGTTTTTAGAAAAATCCGATTTTGAGTTTTAAAATTTAACGCCATTAGCGTTCGTTTAAGAAACAAAATTTTAAATAGCTCACAGTTATGATCTATAAATATCATAATGTATATAAATATCATAATTTTATATAATTTTTTGTTAATACTTTATTGGATATCCAGATGTTTTTAATTGTTCTTTTGTTGCAAATGTTTATTTTTGAATTCATAAAATTTTAAACCACTTTAAACGCGTTTTTATTTTTTTAATTTATAAGCGCGTCTAATAACTTAGTTGCTATAACAACGTAAAAAAAAAACCTTATTGTCCCATAAGTATTCAGAAAAGAATATAATATATTATATATTATATTCTGTGAAATTATATATATATATATATATATATATATATATATATATATATATATATATATATATATATATATATATATATATATATATATATATATATATATATATATATATATTTTATATATATTTATCCATCTCTGCTTAGAAATAGTTTTCAATTTGAAAAAAATAAATTCTTTATAAAATTTTAAAGTATATTTTTTGTTTTGATATATTAAAAAAACTATATTTGTGTTAAAATGATTAAAAGACTTTTTTAAAATCTAATCTGAGAATATTTTTATTACTATTACTTTTTTTTAAATCAACTTTAAATTGCTGAACACTAATACGATTGTTGATAGAATTCTGCGTTAAGTTTTTTTTATTATTTTGCGTTTAGATGCAAAATATGAAATCATACACTAAAACTTTAAGAAAAAAAAAAAAAGTATATATGTTATATAATTATATGTGAAATGAAAAAATTTAACAATAAGTTAGCCAGAAGTTTAAATAGTTTTTTTGCGATAAAGCACATATGATTACACAATAGGAAATTATACTTACGAAAACTTTGTAATTAAATATTCATAGCGTAAACAAATTTATTCCGTGACTTTTATAAGCATTCGTGCTTATAAATTTTAGAACTGTAGGTTCTTTAATTAAATTTTAATTTTAACGTACTTTAATATAGCCGATTGTCATTATGGTGCTTTAATATAGACCAATATAAAATTTAATCGCGATCAAATATATATGAAAACATATACATAAAGCGCAAACCGATTCTATTGACCATTAATATTTTATTTGATTATACATTAATATTATATATATATATATATATATATATATATATATATATATATATATATATATATATATATATATATATATATATATATATATATATATATATATAAACTCACAAATAAAAAACTCACAAATGCAACCACGCTTTCTAAATATATATGGGATACACAAAAATTGTATTGTGTTTGACTGCTTTGGAACATCGATGAAAGATGACGGATTTCTTCAATCAACTCCTCTTCTTTTACATTGTTTACGTAAAGATTTACCAGGACTTTGTATTTTTCTTTCTGACTAAGTTTTTCTTCATCACTAGAAGGAGATGGAAAACATATGAAAAAGAAACATATCCGTCGTCTTTTGAGCTGTATCCATTCTGTACCTTATCTGCTAGAGCATTTGTTTCAAAATCGAAATGAATTTTCTATATAGAATTTAATTCTCAATAGAATTAAAGAGAAAAAGAATTAATTACAATTTTACAATATTAAGTTAATTGGAATGAATGTATTGAGAAAGAATATTTGAAAAGTGTTGGAATGAGAGTAACTTGACTGATTTATGCAACATAACATTGATAATGTTTTAAAACAAGCCTTTTGTTCGGATAAGTGTAATTCGAATTTTAACAACATTTAAATTGAAGCTATTGCAATCAGTCAACAATCAGTCAAGCTATTGCAATCAGTCACAATTTCAATTTTTTCAAGCAGAAAAAATTGAAATTGTGAAACTTCCATTTAAATTAACCTAAATTTCAATTTCATTTCATGTTATAAAATTCTAAAAATCTTACAAAATACCTGACAGAAAAAAAATCTTCTATTTTGTCTTAAATTTTTTGCTTCAAATTATGCAAACAATCCTTGGCGTTTGATAATTTGCCTGTTTGAAAATTTGCCGTTTGATAAATTTACAATAAATACTACATATAAATTTAGGCCGGAGAAAAAAGAAGACTTAAGACTGAGAAGACTGTCCTTATCAGCGAGCCTCGTTTACGTATTGTCTGCGTTTATATAAAAGCAAATATATACATAATTCGTTTTAAAATACATATAAATTTTGCAAAATGCTAAAAATGTCTTTAAAAGAACGTGAAACTGTAGTATATTTCTACTGATTTAAAATCAAAGTAATATAAACAAACATATATATTAATGCATGCACATTTTCTATATTAATGTTTAATAAGATATATTCATTTAGTTATAATAACAACGTTTTTATTTCTATTTTGAATTAAATTTAGAATAATAAATATAAGTCTGTTGTAATAAATTCTAATTGTATTAAGAGTCTTTTAGATTCTGTTTTAAAATTCTCTAAAGTGTAGTGCTCTTTATAATTAGTAAAAATTTTAATACAATATTTTATCAAGGTCGAATGTGGCCCCTTTGCCAGTGTGCCTAGTTAACATGTACCCAGGGCCCCTCCCCTTCGCGGCGGCGCTTTTATTAGTTACCAAAATATGTTACAAAAATTTTGTCTTATTAACTTTAAATCATTACAACTTAAAATCTTTAAAAATTACGTAATGTATTTTTTTACTTTTATTCCATGATTTTGACTTCAAGAAAACTATTATAGATAACTACTTATAAATGCAAAATATGCGTGCCGGCAACACACTATTCAACCGTGTGTTGCGCAGGCAATAGCGTAGTTTTAATCAATAGGAAAATATCTTATATGCTCTATATACATTAAAATCACGAGTAATTCAGTTATTATTATCTTAGAAAATGGCTACTACATTACTTCCTTAACGTACATTAGTACAACTTTCAATGGAGGACGGCGGGCCTAAACAAATGATTGCTGCACGTTTGAAGATACCTTTTTTAAAAAAGTTTGAAGATAGCTGTTTATAATAACATTTAGCACATCAAGTCAACAGATGGCACCAATGCAGGAAAATTCTTATAAAGATTAAGACTTCAAAAACCAACAATATGATACGCCGTTTGACTGTGAAGGGCAAACATATGTGAGCTTGAAATAGAGATTTCAAACTCACTCAAGTGATCTTGTTAGAGCTCAAGCAGTTTGAAAACGGAACGATTTCATGTGTCACTAAATGTTTTATACTGTGACCTCTTTTTTTTAAGTTCATGAATGTTATTTTTTGATTAAAACTTTTTCTAGCAATCAAATATTGTGTGATCGAATTTCAAATATTGTGTGGTCGGATGTCAAATATTATGTGGTCGGATCTAATTCATAACTGTATTAAATATAGTTTGTAAAAAAAAGGTTTGGAGGAATGATACAACAATTATTGTAGATTAAGTTGGCAAAGTATAAAATCTTTTAATTTTTTTCTAAGGAGATGATCAATTTTTAAGATTTCGATGAAAAACGTCTTTAATGAGTAAATTTCAAATAAAAATGTTTTTTTTTTCATCATAAATATTTATAAAATAATAATTATAAAAGAAAAAAAGTACTGAAATATACATCAACAGCACAACACCAACAAATGCATTTTTATTAATATTTTATGTTTCAAAGGTTTCTCCAATGAGTTTACAAATATTTAATGTTGACAATGCACTGCAAATGGATCCATAATCAGGATGGAATTTTATGTTTAATTTGTATCTTTTCCACTGATCTCTTAATATTGAATGTAACGATTCTGTTGCTCTGCACTGAACATTCAAAGTAAAGAGCCGTGGTGTTTAATGAATTCTGTAATATGACTGAACACAGTGACTGACAAGAAGACGTATGATTGTTTGAACTATTGAACTTTTTCTATGAACCTGTCATCTAAAGTTAGTCCAAGACATAAAATAATAGCGCTTCTGAACAATTCGAGGAAGCTTAATACTTGAATTGCGTAGGATTTTTCCTCATTTCTTTGCAGCGTGTCAACATTCTTTGATAGGATACTACACTAATTCCCTACCACCGTGAAATGGCTGCATCTGAAGGTTTAGTTTTGCAGGCCAGTCTTTTGCTTTCGAAAAATGGTTTACAACCTAAAAGAACAAGTTCCGAGTCTTCACCTATGATCAGTGCCGAGAGGAGGGGGGGGTTGCGAGGGACAGTTTGTCCCAGATATCCAAGGAGCGCCAAATGAAATGTAGGTACCTAAAAAAAAAAAAAAATTCTTCATATACAATGTAGGGAAAATTTATAAATAACGGCGCCAATCACGATTGCTGTCCCAGGCGGCGTGACAGCTCTCGGCGGCCCTACCTATGATCAACGAAGCTTCTACCACGTTGTTGAATTTTTTGGGTTTGCTTTTATTTATTTCCGGGGCAATTGTTGCGATTCGTCTTCAGACTTTCGAATTTTCCTAAAACTCATTTGTTAGAAACATTTTCTGAGTTGATGTTATATCAACAGAAGGCATGTTTGCATCAACAGAAGGGATGTTTGAACTTTATTTAATTCCACACAAAAGGTTAGCAATTTTAAGATCCCTGTTGTCTTTAAAGAATTCGGAGAATGACTTATTTTTTGCCGCTAATTTTGTTCAAAATATGCTGAACCAGCCTGAACACTGTTGACTAGTTGAAAATAGATTTTAATTTCGTTATTTTGGCGTTAAAAAGACCGGTATAGAGTTGAACATTGATCATGTCTCGGATTTTAAGAGCATTTAGTAAAGAAATCTGTGTTTTTCACTGTTCTAAACAAATCAAACAGTCGTTTAATTTAAAAACTGATATTTTAATGATTATTTGTTGCCTCTAGTTACTATAAACTGCCACCGGTGACCTGTCTGAGTCTTATGGTAACATAAGGTGTTCTTTCCTTTGTGTTTGATAATGGCTTATAACGCAATTTGTTAAGCTGAATTGGATTATTTAAAACAAAGGTTTTCAAACTTTGATTCTTTTACAAGTAGTGCAAAAATGACTTTAACCTCAGCCAATAATTGATGAACACTTAATGCATTTTTTTAGTTGTTGCGTAAATGTAGATCTAAAGGTTGACGAAGAATATGTGTCATTTATTTTTTATGTGTGGCGAAGAGCATGTGTCATTTATTTTTTTTTGTTTTTAAATTAAGCTTTTTTTTTTTTTAATCTTGAAAATCAAACATTCACAGTTCCGAGTATTTCAAGTAAGCGGCTCGACTACTTGAAATACTCTAAACTGTGAACTGAATCAAAATTAAAAAGGTCAGGCAATAAAACTTTTTTGTCGTCATGATTTAACTTTTGTCGCCTTGATTTAACTATTATTAACTCGATTTAATTTTTCGAGAAACATTCGGCAGTTATTGATAACTCCTCTTGGAGCCATTTTTCAATTAAAATTCACTCTATTTTTAACAAGTTTGCGTGCACTTAAAGCCTAAATCCTAACATGTTGCAAGACACGTTGCTTTGTGTATGACGAGCTATGAATTCCATTTTTAATATCTTTTAAACTATTATTTTTTCCATTTTTAATTATACTCCTCGATTTCTTTTATTAATTCCGCTATTTTAATTACCCCATTTATTTTATTACTTCTTTAATTCAAATTTCTAATTTGGAACAATCTACAAAACAAAAATGACGTAGGTGTTGTTTTTTTTTGCTGAATTTATTTTAGTACTCTCATTTCGGTAACAGTAAAATCGGTAAAAAAATTTCACAAATATAATTAAATAATTTCAAATATAATTTTTTTAACAAAATTCGTATAAATTATTTCACAAATCAAGTGATGCCGTTACATTGTAATCATCGCTTTCGATAACTTGATTGTTTTGAAAAGGTGACTTATGCCACATTTAAAATAAACGATTAATTTAAAAAATGTTGTTTGAAAAAGAGTCTCATTTGAATTTTGCTAATTTAAAGTGTTTTTCAGCAAAATCTAAAAAATTCAATATCTTTCTTAAACAAAATTAAAAGCTTTTGATATTTGGCCAATTTAATCTATCTTATGATACACATATGGTAGATTAAATTGGCCATATAAAAATCAATTCTCCTGAAGATTTTCTTGGGAAATAAACATCAAACCTTTTTCTAGACCACAATAGTTAAAGAATATTATAAAAAAGTGGTAACTTGATGTTTAGTTCTTTATTATTTTAAATTTTACTTTATTCAGATTTTTAATTATTAAAAAGTATTTTACTCAGGGTTTGTTAAATTTGTTTGATTTACTTTTAGATCCGCACTTGCTGTTCCTTCAAATAAAGAACTTTCTTGTACTCAGTCACAGCTAGACTTTTTTGAGATGCTCGATAAAAAAATTGATTTGGTATTCAGAATTTTTTTTTACATATTTACATTAAACATTTATCACATAACATATTTATCGTATTAAACTTTTTAACACGTTTTCATTTCGTGTCATTTGCGTCATGTTCAACTCACGTAAATTCATTTATTGTGACATTTCAAGTTGAAAAATGTCACGTTAAGTGAATAAAACACCAATTTATCGTATCAGTTTATAAAACATTTTTCTATCTTATTTATTTTAAAATTAATGTCAAAGTTTGTTTTATTTTATAATGATTATTTTAGGGTCGCGATTATAACTCGAAAGAAGATTTATCTAGAATAAAAAGGTGACTTAATGATCAAGCCATTTTTATTGTTTTAAAATTTTAAAATTTCATTCTGTTGTAATATTTTATATATTTCTATAAGACGTAAATATTTTTTCAGAAAAATTCAACGAATTTTTAATGTTCATTTTTTCGTCCTTTTTTTTTTTTTTTTTCTTCTGTTGAAGCAAAATTTATGTAATTATTTAAAAACTACTGCTGTTGCAGTATTTATGAAGCTCAATCTTATAGCATTGCAATAAAAATGTTTATTAATATATTTTATTATATATTGTTAATTTAATCTTCTTTTTTTAAATATTGTCTTGTTTAATATTGTTCTTCATGTTTCGGTACTATTTTTTTTAAAGAATAAAATTATAAAACTTTAATGTTTATATTTCGCTAACTGAAAACAAGTTCATAAAACCTACCAACCACCATTTTTTTTAGCAAAAATAAGGTTTAACATAAAATCTAAAATTCTAATTTTACCTAGTACCATACTTCAAACAGAGATTGTCTTTCGTTATGACCACTTTCCTTAAGATAAAGTGATTATAAGTTATACATGATCATAACTTGTAAATAAGGTCAAGCGAATTGGCACTTTTAATTTCAAATCGAATCACGAACGAAGCGGGTCTTAATTTACGAATCGAATCAGCAATATGAGGAAATCCAAATTTAAGCTTTTTTTTTTAAACCTACTTAATTTTTTTTTACTACTGGTTAACATATCAAATAAATATTAAAAGAAATATATTGTATTAAAAAAGATATTAAAAATATATTTTGTTAACTCATTGTGGGGAGGGGCAAAGCAGGGAGAAAGGCTAAGCTTTAAGGGTACAATTGTTCTTAGAATAAATTATCGCAATTTTACGGAAAACGTTTTTATTTGACATAATGACAAGCATGCTAAAGTTTAGATTTGCACAATTGCTGAATATTTCGAATCAAAAACAAAACTAAATCAAGTCAAGATTAGAATCAGTATGATCACCTTGCAACTGGTATCATATAACCTAGTACAACCTGTCTCATGTCTTATTGCTTTATAGGACTCGTATTTCTAGTCGTAGAAAATTTAACTCTAAGTTCAAATACCTGCCTTGGAGCTTTTGGTTGGAGTAAAGATGAGAGCTAGTATCTCAATAATAATATCGTGGTCAAGCAAAGACCTACTACATAAAAGTATCTGTAGATGTAAAAAAAAAATCTCTTTTGACCAGCATTGAACTTAAAATTAATCTAACACAAGTTATGTACACGTAAACCTGTTTAAAATTAATTCCTGTCTAGGATGATAATCGATGGATTCTCTTAACTCTTCGCACGTCTTGCTTCTTTCTTATTAGTAGCTATGTAACTTTTCCTGTTATCTTATGAACGTAAAGTTCTAAAACTCTGCTTAAGGGTTTAAAGGCTGGTAGTAAGTTTCTTTACAATCTGTAGTAGAATTTAAACTAAAAATACGCCAATATTTAAAGATGGTGAACTATTTAAATGTCAGCAACTATTGATTAATATCTTTCCACTCTGTTTTTTCAAAAATTTTAGAAAGAATTTGGTTCAATCAAATATCTAATTATCTTGCAGTTAATAACTTTACAAGAATCAATCAAGTACGGTATCAAAATTTCATGTATATATATATATATATATATATATATATATATATATATATATATATATATATATATATATATATATATATATATATATATTTATATATATATATATCAGAGGCGGATCTAGGGTATCGTCAATGACGTGTGCGCATCAGTCTTTTTGCACTGCTAAAGTTGAGTGTATTTTTTTTTTCACTTTTTTTTTTAATAAAAAGTTAAAGTAGAAATTAGAATCTGATATTCCCAAAAATAAAAATATTTGTTTTAAACTCGAAAAAAACTATCAAGTCTAAACTCGATTTTATTTGATCTCTATAGTTACTTATTCGTTACTTAGATTACAAGGTTTCCTGAGTTTGGAGTAAATGACGAAACTGTTCTTTACTAAATACAAATGTAATTAGTTAAAGAAAAAATATTTTACGCTTTAACCAATCTTGTTTGTATATTTTTACAATTTTTTTTGATCACTTTGTAACAAGTGATGCAAAACTTGTCACAATTGTACTCTAAATCATAAATGATTGGTTAAAAAACAGTTTAAACCAAACACTATTTATTAAAATTAAATTTGCGACAGTTGCTACAAACCTTCCGCAAAAAAATACAAAAATGTTTCAAAAAAGATAAAGAATGTTTTTTATAACCAATCCATTTTATAGAAAGTTTAGAACATATGCATTAGTTGCTCCAAATCGTTCAAAATTTACAAAATTCTGATATGCCACCTGATATACGTTCTTCACAACTGAAAATTTGAAAATTTTAGATAACAAGTCCAGTGCAGCCATATAGTCAGTCTTTTGAAAATTTTGAAATGGATTGTTTTACCCCGAAGCCAAAAGATAGGAAAGATTATCTTGCTTTAAGGTAAAACCCTATTACTAAAGTTAACGATGTTTCATGCTTCCAGCTAGAAAATAGTATAAACTGAGCTTGTTTTAGTATACTTCTTTTTATTTAAGGTCATCCAAAGATGGATAATTCTGTACAATTCAGCTTCTCTTTTAAGCAATTCGTCTCTGAAAACAGTTAATGTATCGAGGCTTCTAACTTTGAATAGTTTGTACTTATTACTATGCGAGGTCGTCTCTTTTTGTTAAACAAATTGAAAACAATAATTTTTCCAATGTGGCAGTATCGAGGTTGTCTCTTTTTGTTAAACAAATTGAAAACAATAATTTTTCCAGTGTGGCAGCTCTAATAGTTTCAGTAGCCCGTGTTTCTTTTAAATATTCAGATCAATTTAAATTAATTAACAGTGAATCAGTTTCTGAAATTATCAACTGCCAAGATAACAAATTTTCTTCCTTTTTATGTCTAATTGCTTTGTCATCAGTTTTAAATATTCCTATTAGATCAATTTATCCTGGTTTTGGCTTAAAAAAACTCAAAAAACTTTTTAGTTTAACTATTTTTCGTTCTATTAAAAATCAAAGACAAAATATTTTAAATATTTTATGGCGTAATACTGATATTATGTCAGTAATGCAAAATAATCATCACTGGTCACCTAACCATTTTGTATCAGTCACTAAAAAGTCCAGATGCTCGTTATCCTTTACACTTTATTAGTCCTAAAACTGAAACAAATAAAAAAAAATTCTCTGAAAAAGTTAATTCTGTAAAACATGTCAAAATCCAATCTAAAATTTAAAAAAGACTGTTTCAATAGAGTTGCCTTTTAAACCTTTTGTAGATTCTAAAATATTTAAGTCATCAGATCCCAACTCAGTTAATAGTCCTTTATATAAAGACTCTAATTTAAAATTAAATGGCTGTCAGTTATTAGGTTAGCTTATTCTAGCAAACAAGACGGAGCTTACTGTTTTTCTTCTAATTTGCAAGATGCTAGTATTCCAAATAAGTCTGGAATATTATATTTAGTTTTGAAGCCACATCAAGAGTGGGATAATGATGTTCGTGATTTTAAAAAACATGAGAAAAGTTGTGTTTTGAATGAAAGGTCTATGCTTTTATTTGATGCATTACTATCACGTTGCAAATCCAAAAGTAATGTTATCGAGTTTCCTTTAAATAATTCTCGTTTAAAACTAGTTCCAACAATCAAAATAATTCATAGACATTGTGATGATACCAAATATCATCCTAATATTGGGTAATCTTCTACATAAATGGTTGGAGTAGTTAACTTCAAGGAGCTTTTAAATTTTCGTGTTGGTGCTATGGATCAAATATTAGCTAATCATTTTTTTTCAAGTCCAAAAAATGCAACCTATAAATCAAAAACTACCCAAAACAAACATATTGATTCTTGTGGAAAAGCAATTGAGGATGTTTTAATAAAAAATGTTAAGCATTCAATATTTTTTTCAATTCTTTACGATGAAGCAGTTGGCTATTCAAATACTGAACAAATATCACTTGTTTTAAGATATGTAAATTCAAATTATGAGGTTTGCGAGGATTTCTTAAGATTTAATTGCAAAACTGATTGATTGCAAAACTGGTACATCTAGTCTTAGTCTATATATAAATATATTTAATACACTTCAAGAATTTGGACTTGATATTCCAAATTGTAGAGGGCAAGGGTATGGCGTATGGCGGTGGGTATGGCGGTGTGGGTTGTATGGCAGGTGAATTAAATGATAAATAAAAATCACAAATAAAAGCTCTTTTGTTCAAAAAGTTTTGGCCAAGTAAAAGAAATTTCTTATTTTTTTAACTTATCTCCTAAACATAGTAACTTTCTCAAAGAATATTCAAGTCCAAATCAGAAAAAAGATTCTCGTCGAACAAGAATGATTCAAAAGCTGAGATGTCTTAATGTTTTTTTTTTAATAATTTTATACTCGGTATTCATGCTATAGAGGAAATGGGCTTAAATGAATCAAAGGAATACAACAGTAAAACTACGTCCAAATCTTCTTCTCTTTTAAGATTATTGACAGATTTCTCTTTTATTGTAAGTTTAGGTATAACAAAACAGTTAATGCATTTTTTTTATGTAATTACACCAACACTTCAAACTAAGTCTTTTGACATATCCCAGTAGTGTTTTGAAACAACTAATCTAAAAAATTTGTTCTTATAAATTAAAAACAAAATTGGTATCACACTGAATGATACACTATTGCTCTTTTTCTGAGCAAAATTCTTGATATCCAAGAAGTGAGATCTAGATTTTATAATGTCTAGGTTTACCGAGATAATTATCTAACAAATAAAGTTTGTGACTATTTTAAACATAGCATTAATTCTCCATTGATTAAACATCTTATTAATGAGCTAGATAATAGGTTTCCAGAAAGTTATATCTTTGTTTATAAAGGTCTAGCAGCAATTTCTTTAACTGTACTGTCCTGATTTTTATGAACTTTTGAATTTCTGTTCATTTTATATGTCTGATTTTACTTTAATACATGCTAAGTTTATGGGAATTATTTTGGAAAAACCGGTCAAATATTTCTTCAATTGTTGCTGATATTTTATGGCCATTAACATGATAGATTTTAAAAATATAAGGACAGCGTTTATAATATTGGGAACCTTTCCCATAATATTTTGTGAATGTGAAAGAAGTATTTCAGTTATACGTTGGCTAAAAACATACTCCAGAAGTAATATGATTGACTCTCGCTTTAACTTTTTAGCATTAATGTACATACATCAAGAAATTTTTCCAGATATATATATATATATATATATATATATATATATATATATATATATATATATATATATATATATATATATATATATATATATATATATATATATATAATTTTAGAAAG